CCTGGTATAAACTTACAAAGTACAGGGTCTTACTGACTCTGGAGTTTTGAGTTTGTCTGGGTTGTACCTTTTTCCACCCTTATCCTTATGTGCTCACCATCAGCACAGCATGAAAGGTAAAGCCATTCCTGAAGTCTCTGCTTAACCAGGGGCAAGTGAGTAACAGCAACATAACTGGGAGAGAGGCACAAAGCAGCATCTCAGTGTTCCCCATGCCCTGCATGCAGGTCTCCAACAGGGACCTGAAAAGTTTTCCTGAAGAAGAAATGTCTTTTCCTCTTAAATTACTGCTTTAAACCCAAGGGAATTTTCCTGGGAATTTTTATTGTCTGCTACCAAATTACATCAATAACTCCACAAACCAGACCAAGCCTGTGATATAAAAAGTACATGAAGAGATTACGCCAGATGCAGCTCGATAATTTGCATTATCTGGACACACATGGGTTATGAAAGACTCAACCTTTTATACATTTAACACAGCCCCTTCAGGAAAGGGAGGAAACACGGTGTTACTCACAGACTGCAGCCGTAAACCTGGAGATCTTGGTCAACATCTGCCTGCTCCCCCAGTGCTGGGAACAGCACAATGTGGCCATCCCTGGTACTCCCACACACGGTGCTGCTTTTTTGTGCTGTAGCCCAAAAAAACCAGAAAGTGGATCTACTTATTGAACAGCTGTTGATGGACAGAGAGGCCTTTGGATTAGGGGGTTTCAGTCTAGGATAAAGGGCAAACTATTTTTAACCTGTAGTTCTAAAAGGAGGGAAGTTGCAAGTATTAAATTAGGGGTTTGCATTTCTGAGTCCAACAAAATGCAAATATAGATGGCTTGAATAGTCCTACAGCAAGAGAAAGTCACTTGTTTCATACAAACTTCTTTTTAAAAAAATCAGATGAACAGCTAAAACAGAAGTAAATGACGCTCACACAGCTTGCCCTGTCCCCTCAGTTTGCACAAGGGCTGTACCAGGAATCAGTTAAGGACTCCAGCTGAAATGCAAACCAGCTTCCTCAAAATGCCGTTGCAATTCACTCTTAGAGGTGTTTCTGCATTGAACAAATCAGCACTCTCAACTTGTGAAGCAACTTGCATTTCTTAGCAGCTCATTTCTTTTAAAAAATATCAGTATGGTGCAGAGCTCCTCTTTGCCAGGCTCAGGGGAGATACTACACAGAAGGGAATTTTAATTTTTGGCCGTTTAAGGCAAAGATTTGTGGTTTGGATGGCAAAAATATTTGTACAGAACCCTGAAGAACCACCTCTGACACAGCAAGCCTGTCACAAGATGCAGTGCCAGCATGCCGTGCTGTGGCACAGGCTTCATGTCTCACAACTTCATGGGCATCCCAGTTAAAACACCTTCAGGACAAGGCAATTTGGCTTTTGAAAGCATAAGCAAAGGGCAACTCCAGCAGAGAAGTAATTACAGTTTATACAAGAAGTATTTTATTCAACAGTAAAATGCCTCTCTGATTCACCCAGCCACGTGCAGGAGGCAGCAGGTGCTCTCAAGTCAGTTTGGAAAGGCAAAGCTTACAGTGCCCTCACAGTGTGTTTTATCCTTCAATACTGCGAAACTAAATGTTCTTTAGAACATCCAACACTTCTAAAAACGGAATCTTAGAGCTGTGAAGTATCAGCTTATTAGAGGAAGAGCACAAACCCACACCAGTCATGTTGCTGCAGTAGAAAAATATTCCACCACAACCCCCAGGATCAAACATCACAGCAATTTATGATGCTGAATGAGAACACCCCGAAATCCCTCCCCAAGCCCCACAAATGCAGGCCAACAATGAACAATCTCAAATTATTTATTAGGAAAAGACAAAGGACTGTTTCAACATTCGTACGGAACAAATGGTGATTAACCCAGGAAAATAAACTGTAAAAGGTAGGCCCATGACAGAGGAGTTGGGTTATGACAAAGCAAATGAAATCCAAACTTCATTCATGCAAACAAGCAGTAAAGAATTATTTACAGTTTCGATGGGATGAATTACAGAATTGGCCGTATTTGGGCCCAAATCAAATTATTCAGTGACGTATTAAAGGGATCTAATCTGTACATTCAATAATGAGGATCTATAAAAAGAAAAATAATTTAAACAATTTACAAGAGCTGTATTACAGATGGCATAAAAGGCATCATTTACAAGAGCTGTATTAACAGGTGACACAAAGGTATTCGTCAGGAATTTATGAATAAAAATTTGTAGCACGTATTTTTACATCACATCTTCAGTGTCTGAACAGTAAACAAGGAAGCAGAGACATACCATGAGTGCAATGTAAGAGAATAAGGCAACTTAACCAAATGGCTCTTCAGAGAACTTCATCCTACAGGGGTTTACAAGTCATAAATTCGCCTGCCTGCTCTGCTAACTAAAACAAATGTTTGGAGACAGCAACTGGTGATCACAAGGCCTGCATATCACGAGACAGTAGATGGAAAATTAAATGCTTGTTTGTTAAAATGCCAAAACTCAAGAATGTAAAAGTGCAGATTATCAAAAGCCCTCTACGCCCTAACACCAGCACATTCATTTTCATGTTCTAGATGTTGTAACTTAATAGGCCTCAAAAAACTAATTCACTAGTCTTATAAACTCTTTTGCAATGCACAAACTAATATACCTCCTCCCAAAGCTTGTATTTACAACGTTCTTCAATTGATGGTAGAAGAATTGTGAAATGCTAGCAATTTATAGCAAAGATTAGCAACCGGCACACGATATTCCAGTTCATTTCATAGGCAAGGCTAATTAGCACATTTAGATTTGAAAATTACTTCAAATGGGTATTTTTGAATTCTCAGCAGCTTCCCCAAAAGCTTTCAGAAATGGCTGAATTTCTTAAAGTTTTAGCAGAGAATACTATTTGTGCAAACAGCTACAATAACAAGATGAAGGATAACATGGAAATACAGCAGTGAAGAGTCCTCTGTATCCTAATGCACCACGGGAACATTATGGGCCTTACAGAAAGCAGCACAGGAAGCCACACCTGCCAATGACTCGCCACATTAACACAGTCCACATATTCAAAAGAAAAAAAAAAGGAAAAAAAAGGAAAAAAAAATCCCAACAAACCCAAAAGGGAAACTTGAAATAAGGCCAAAAAGTATTGGCAAATGATAAAATTTTCAGTCTGTCAAAAGGACCAGGCCATAAATATTTTATTTACAATTTCTAGTTAGAATCTTTATTTTCAACAAATGATTTAGCACCAGCAGGAATATGCAAAGTATCATTACTGTGTTCCCCAGGCAGAAGACCTTGAGGCCAAATCTTGCTCATTAGTTTAAAAGGATCATCTACTCAAGTAACTAAGAGTGAGCAGGATTTGGCACTCAGTCATGCAAAGTGAGACTGTTCAAACATATTCCATTAGCACGTTAATAATTACAAACAGACTACAGCATCTTTTGAGATGTTTTCAGAAAGTATGTTTTTTAGAATACTTAATATGCTTTACACGTGTGAAGTAAACAAAACTAATAAAACAGGCTTATTTGCAGACTTTTTTTAACCTTAGAGAATTTTACCACAGATGACAAAATACTGGTGATGTACTTTAAAATATCAGTAAAACTTAAAAGAACATAAGCAGGATTTATCCCTCTGTGATAAAGCATTTTTTAATCTCCCATGGTCACGTCTGAGGACTAAATTCACCCATTTTATCCACAATGATTGTGAAATTTACCCCCTCTGACTGTGTGTTAACAGGAAATAAAAAAAAAACCAAACAAACAGTAACTGTTTGTGTCAAACATGTCCTGAGCCCTGCTCTGTGACCTACAGGTCGTGGTCAAACACTTTTAATCTGACCCACAGATTTTTGTTCACTTTTTAACCTCAGCAAAGCTTTGTTAACATGATACACGGTTTTTAAGCCTACATAATCCATAAAAAGGATGCAGACACGAAAACAAGGACAGGGGAAAGAATTAGCCTTATGTGTTTAAATGGACTGAGGATAAAAAAGCTGATCAGAACAAGCTCAACAGAACCACACTGACCTTCCCCTCTGCTCTCAACTCGACTGAACTGTCTCCTCAGGATTACAGTGATACCCAGATATCCAGAATGGGAACAGTGGTTGACTGTAGATTTATTCATTAATATAAGTTAATGACTGAATGCAAAAGACCATCTAGTCTTCATCTAGTACAGACTGGCTCTAGAAGAAGACACTTTGATTAGTTCCAAATGTTAAAACTCCACTGTTACTCTGAAACATTGAGAAATGAGAAGTTATTGCAGCTTTTGTGGAAGCAGGTGCTTCCTGCAGATCTACAGCGGACAGAGACAAGGAGTCAGTGTTACAGCCCTTGAAGGCACCCTGCATGTGAACTACCAACCACTCAGTGCAAGCAGGAACCTCACAGTACTTCTGAAGGGTTATCAGAAGCCAGAACAGAACTTCTGTTCTTGATATACAGGCCTAGAGCACCTAAAGAACACAGGATGTGTTCACTCCAGCCTGCTAAATACTCCAAGTGTATTGTAGGAGCTCCTCTCTCCATCAAACTGCAGTTAGCTAAGCAGAATTAGAAAGGTGAAAGCGGTTAGGTCTAACAGCCTGGAATAACTTCATCTACAATTGAGCTTCTCTGTCCAGAAATAAACAGTATTTGTCTCATTACAAACCTGCATGATTTTTAGGGAGATAGTGATACAACCAAACTGTGCGTAATACTTGTAACGAGCAAGCTGGAGGGATGAGACCAAGAAATGCAAAAGTCTTATCACAGGATTAAGGGATAGGAAGCCAGAAACCTGATGCTGTTCTCCTGGCATCTCTTGCTACACTGGATTGAAGGGACCATCTCCACGGCCAATAAAATTATCTGCCATTTTGCTGGTAAGTAACACTCATTAGGAAACCTCATGGATAAAGTCCCAGTACCATTAAAATTGGCATTATATGAAAAAATTAAAAGGCACTCACACGGCTGACTGAGCTGAAAATGATTACACATTCAAAATGAATTTTGCATTTTACTTTAGAAGAAGTATCACAGAACTTTCCTCTAGAGGAGTGGTTCCACTTGAGAAGACAACAGTAGTCCTGAGAAAACCCCAAATTTTCATTTGTATCCATTCACCCTAAAGCTGCTTCAACCAGTTGGCTTTGAGGAAATGGCAAGGGTGAAAGAAAAAACAGAGGATCAGGAAAAAGCAAGCTACTTCAGTTATCTGTGTAAAAGAAACAATCCTTTTCAACATATTTAGAAGAGAATTTCAAAGAGAAGACTTTAAGGCTTATCTTGCAACTACTTGTGATGCCTATCATTTCTCCTGGTGGTAGAGTCAATCTTTGGGGACTCTAACAAGTTCTAAGCTGACAGAAAGTGAGATGAAACCCAAAGATGACGCTTAAATACAGGATCCCTGGGCTTTACAGTAGGGCTTGACAACTGCTCTGGTTGCTCTTGTAATGAAGTACCAATTGTGCTGATTAAACCAGGAATAGGAAACCAACTTTTTTAGAAGCTCAAGGGAAGTAAACCAGAGGTAGGGCATACTTTTTGATTCTCACAGTAGTTTCTATACAGTACAGCTATTCAAGAATTATTCCACTTATTTTGTAACAATTTACTTAGAAAAAAAATGTATCTTAAGTCACATCAGCTTCAACTGGTTTAATGAACCATGGATATTAGGTAATCCTCTGCTATGTGTGCTTTTGGTTAAATATGTAAGTAGCTTCTAACTACTGCTTCAAAAGGACTCTCAGTATCACCAAAAGAGAACTGAAGTAGCAATAAACATGGTCTAAAGGAACTATTTCTAATGGAGCTGTAGTATATGTCTTAAAGTACCTCACTTTGCAAATAAAATATGCAGTTAGTTTGCAAACTTTTCAGCAGGCTGTCAGAACACTCAGAAAATTAGGTTTTCACACAGTTTTATTAACCAAATAAAGTTTACTTCTGATAGTCAACCATAACCCAAACGAGCCGTATACAGCATTTATAAAGACATTCTATAAAACCCATATTTGCTTATTTTCTGAAGTGCTCTGAATTAGCATTAGATCAGCTGAACTGTGGGTGTAATTTTTAGTTGTTTATGTCTAAAGTGAAACATCAAAAGCAAGCACAATAGAAATGCAGTACAAGTACCGGAAAAAGCAACAATAAATGGAACTGCATTTGAAATTGGCAGCTGCACTTAAATGAGCTGCCTGCCCTAAGGTACTGTACTCTTAAAGGATCCCAGAAAATCTTAAAAGATAACATATGATGTTAGTATGGGGCTTTGAATTGTAAGAAAGAGAAGACTGAAATAGCACACAGGGTTTCTAACACACTAGGTGGGTGTATCTGTAAATACAACACAGCCATGCTGTGGAATACTCGAGCAATCAGTTTTAAAAATACCTTAAACCCCGAGATATCAATGTGTTCTAGTCTGGTTGCTCCTCATGCACATACAGGAAATATTGAACATGAAAATATAATAAAATTGGGTAGCTCTTTAGTCCACAAAAATTCACGTAGCTAATGATTGTATAATAGTCTCGTAAGTTTAAGATCTCATGCCCTGGCTTCAGGACTAAACTTATTACAATAATCACAACTGTAAATTTTAAAAGTCTACAGAAAACCCCAAAGATCAGTTCCAGAGGGTGGATTTTATCCCAAGGCCACGATTTGATGTTCCATATTGCGAGAGCACTAAACGTTGGTCCGTTTGGTGCTGCAATACAAACTCTGATGCTGTCCTCAATTTTCAAAAACAAACTTCCCAAATCCAAAAGTAAGCTAGCAACCTTTCATTTTCAACATCTAATTAGATTCTGATCAACTCCTACAAAATTAAGTAGAACTCAGAATTTTAAATTAGTAGCCAAAATTTTCCAAATCTCCACAGAAATGAGCCAAAACACCAGAATTATGAGGTCCTGAGGTCATCAGAATCATGAAAAATACAACATAATACTCTCAGGCTTTGTGGTACCTTCACAAATAATGATTCATGATGGCAGAACTGATAAAAAGAGACAACAAAAATCCAGAAGGCATTTTGGGAGTCATGCCCTCAAAAAAAACCCAAAAACAATGAAAAATGAAAAAAACCTGCCTTCATTAATCACTAAACTCCTTTCCAAATCCAATCAAAGACAGAGGGATCTTCCCAAAATACCAGCTAAATTTTCAAATAAATGAAGAGAGCAAGTGAGTATCTTCATGAAACTTTCATAACATCAGATGCTTAATCTGCTGCTTTGGCTGATTTTTTGTGTTTCTATTCTTCCCACTGAAAATTAAAGCATTAATATTATTTCCATTAGACAGAAAAATAAAATAATTACTGTTCTTTACTGTGGGAAGGAATGGTATACAGATTCCTCTCATCTTGTAGATAGTACCTCGCTGTTTTTAAAGTTGTTTTCTCTAAGTACACAGGGGAAATTGTGCTCATACTATACTATAACTAATGAAAATAATTGTTCATTCATTAATTATATACAAAACTGATGGGCTTAAAGCCTCAGGAGTAAACTTGCAATTATTTTCATGTTGAGCACTTAATGGTTTGGCATTCCTTTGTCTGGGATTTCTGGAAGGTTGTTTTCAGAGGATGTATTGCATATTATGAGTTCACCACTGGCTACAAGTACCAAAGAACATAAATGATAACCACAAACAGTTCACTTTCCAATGCCCAGAGTGAAACCCTTCCTTAGAACAGCAATACTCAGTAGCTAATCACTTCTTATAAACGGTTACAGAAAATGGGCTGTTTTCTTCTCCCTTCCCCAGATTTAATTCCCATTGCCATAAACAAATGTTGTTCAGGTGGAAAATAGTTCAGTGTAGTGACATCTGGTATCTCAACTGAAATTGGGCAGCCCAAGCAGAGCACCAACAGCTCCGAAGTATCCCTGTTAAAAAAAAAATAAAAAAAATTCAAGTTTAAGTAGGGTTTTAAATTTTGCACTACTCACATTTTAGTGACAACCACCGTCTGATGGACCAATGCTACAGAAAGCACACCATACACTGTTAATATATAATAATCCATAATTTTTTGAAGTTTTGTGAAACGAACACTTTGTCCTTCTCGCCTAGATTAACTTTGGAGCATTTCACACCAAGCCTCACCATACACTGCAAGGCTTCCAGGACAGTGAATCCTAAAGAATGGAAATCATGTTTGGTTCCTTTTTCCTAGAGGAGCCGGATATTTTGGTTGCCAAAAGATCTTCAATACCCACAGCAACACTGTTCCCAAAACACAAGTTAAGAATTTCTTAAATTAACTGCACCTCACAAATTTTGACTACTTACCTGCACTCAAAGGACCACGTTTTCCTGTTGGATTACCTTTCCCTCCTGTGGAGGAGTGAAATGTTCCCTCTCCCTATAACTGTGAAATACTGAAGTCTTTGGAATATACACTTGACTAAATGCAAGAGTTCAAAATTTACCCATGAAAAAAATGAAGAACTGAGAAGGAACCATTCTGCTATTACTGCAGACACTGGCACAGACTGTCAGTCCTGGGATAAGCAATAAAGGAAAAACGCTGTGAGAATCAACTCAAGGGGAACAGATCTCATGCTGTAATATTTGCACACCAACAAACTGAGGACAAAAACTGCCGATCCACTGCCAAGAAGCTACAAATCTCACAACTGCTGCACCTGTAATTTGCTTGTCTTTTAAAATAAAACAGGTGAAAACTCTAAGCATTCCATACCGATGAAGATGGCAGAAACTGCCCCAAAGCAGGTCAGTCTGAGAGCACAAAGTCACTCCAAGAGCTCTGAGGGGTCTGTGGTGGTATGAAAGCCGGCCTTGTCAAAGGCAGTCTCCACTTTCAGGATGTTGCTCAAGCCCAGTAGAGAACAATGGGCCCGTTTCAAAGGCTCAAGCTTTAGATCTCTGGACTCTTTGAAATACAACACTTACTATTGTTTCCACCCAAACTTAAGAAAGACTGTTGACCCTGGGCACAGAGCTTAAGATTTTCTTGTCCCTCTCCAAAGATCCACAGCGTGAACTGAGCTACCCCAAAGTGACTGAAGTGCCTCCCTGGCAGAGAGCTGTTCCCAGAGAACCCACTCAGCACGACAAGCCTCCTCTTATTTCTAATGTTTACTGAGTATGGTGCCCCGGGATATCGCACGAGAGCTACTCAATAACGCATTTTTGATTTATGGTGGAACAACACACACAGATAAATGAACCACAGCATACCTCATGTTCTAGGAACAAGGCCTTCAGCTGGCCTTTTGACCAGTAATCCAGTGCATACGCAAGAAGCTTCATTGACAAAGTATTCACACGCAAAAAATTGCCAACAAACACAACTCTGTTTATTTTCTAAAAGGAAAAGAGAAAAACAGCAAAGGATTAAGACTTTTCACTGCTTAATACAGCTTTGAGAAACCGAGCTATGAAAGAGCAGGCTGTCTCGAGCAAGGAAAAAAAAGGCACAAAAACCAAGCAACCCACAATTAAAACCCGGTTTCAAAATTTAAAACATGGCATACTCGGGGAAAAGGAAAGTCGGCGCAACCCACAGGAATTAAAGGACTTAATTTACAGACAAGTAGCATTTGTGTTGCAAACTAAAGCGAGCACTCTCAGTAATTAAGCCAATGAAACAGCCCAGCTAAAAGTGAAATGAAATGGAATGAAAGATAGTTCTGTTTGGCAGGGAAGCCTCAAAGCCTTCATAGCCCTGTACAATGCTGCTTGATCCATATGCAACAAGGCAGCACTGTAAAGAAGCCGAAGACAGTAAGACATGGCAGGTGTTCCTTTCATCTTCAGAACTCAATACACCTCGGCACAGCATCAGACCAAGAGTTAAATACTGCAAGCGAGCTGTGAATTTTAATCAGGTCAAATGTAAAGAAGTGAAAAATCATTTAATGTTCCCTCATTTGCTGAAATAAACCCAATGTTAAGCAAAAGCAACATTAAACACTGGTTTAATGATACAAGAGGAAGAACCAAAGAAAATTTAATTGTGTTAGTTCTTAGCATAGTGCTTAGACAAGCACTTCATTACATTAAATCAATAAATACATTAATTGTATCTAAGTTGTCACACTAGTTTTTGTAACAATTCAACCTGCAGTCAAATGACTACCATGGGACTGTTTTTCACCATCTTGATTAGTTCTAACTGAAGACTAAGTAGATACACCATTAAGGCACAAAACCATAATTCTGTTCTACTGCAGGAAGCCAAAATAATGACATCCAACTTTATATATCAGTTCAAGATATTAGTTTGTATATCCCTAGAAACTGTTCCTTACAATTAGTAGTTCTGTGACATAGCTGGAATGACACCAAAAAATTGGAATAAAGCTAGTTTGTGCAGCTTACAAGTTCTGATTTGTCCTCCTTTACTCCCACCCTTAAATATAAATTTCGTAATTTGTCTTACTCTATTAGTATGTACTTTCAACTTCACCCTCATTTTAACCCTTTGTTATCAAGTCTTGCCATAAAGCAAAAAGCCAAAATTACCTTAATACTCACAAAATGAACCTTATACTCCAAGATAGACAAGACAAAAAGCCAGAGAATGAAACTGAGGGAGACCATGCAATATTAAAACCAGACATGTATTAGTCTGGCTCCAAGCAAAAGGAGGGGTTTGCAGGTAACAAGGTTGTTGGTACTTGTGAGGTGATCATATCCAGAGATTTTAAGCAGAGCTCTAAATACAGTTACCCATAGTCTTCCCCAAGAAAGCTGTTACTAAACCTCATTTTATCCAAAGTCTGTTCATAATGAATAAGGAAAACCCTGGTGCTCAGAACCTAATGCCTTCTATGCCTAAATTCAGTATTGTTCCACAGTTTCTTGGTCCTGCTGAAACTGAACACACACTGGTTCTGTTCAGCAGGACTTTGAACAACAGAAGATGGCAGGAAACCATCCTGGTATCAACCAGTAAGGTGACAGGTGTCAAAATAATCTGAAGTCTCAAGAGTTAGTAAAAATTAAAAATAATGCTTAACTAGAAGCAAGGCTTTCCACAGGCTTCAATCAGAGAATGATTTGAGCTTGAAGAAACTGCTGGAGGCCATCAGGTCCCACACACTGCTCAAAGCAGGTCTTGCAGCAACTTAAATGCAGCAGTTACTCAGGTCACATATTCTGAAACTCTCCAAGGACCAAATCCATGTTTCAGGGCAGGACACACTCCCTAGGTGACCCTGCCGTGGCAGGGTGGTTGGACTGGATGATCTCCAGAGGTCCTTTACAGCCCTAACCATTCTGTGATTAAAGTATTAGCAGTGGGTTCAGAATATTTTGATTGTCTCTGGAGAACTGGGACATGGATATCTTTGCCAGTGGGGAAGATAACCTGACAAGGAGTGCCTCAAACCAGCTTTGTTAGGGAATGGAGCCCAAAGCCTGCAGGGAAGTGAGGGGGTAGGGGAGCACAGGATGCTGTGACGAAGGACTTGAAGTCCCCTTGCTAAACCAGGATGATTGCGGGCACAAAACACTACATGAATTTCCTCATTCCATCTGAGAAACTACTAAAAGGTTTAAAATTATACATCGTTTTAGCAGTCATTTAATCTGAAAACAAATAATAGACCTGTGGATAGATCACTTCCTTATCAGTTTTTACCTCATTTACTGCACACATCCGGGCAATAGACCCAATGTTATTGGTGATGGTCACCAAAATGGCTCTTGCAAGATCTTCTTTACTAACAGACTCTCTCTTCTCTTTGTAGATCATGTTCCCAAAACTAGAACAGGAAAAATTTCCATTAATTAAACATGATTTATGTGCATTTGAAGTAGTCATTTCAGAATGTAATTTTTATGCTGTAACAGAAGTTAAGTCTCATGTTTGTCCTTGAGGAGCTCCCTTTCAAAGTCTGTGTTAAATACAGCAATTTAACATTTCATGTGCATTTATTCCTTTACAGCAAACAAGTCAATGTTGTTACAATAATGACCTCCACAAAATATTTTTGTTCAGGTTGACCTCCATGAAGAACCATCTACAGCAAAATGCAGTTTTATTCTTTGGCATTATTCTAGTTGGGGCTGTGTTTTGAATTTGTGCTGGAAACTCTTGATAACCCAAGGATGTTTTCATTATTGCTGAGCAGAGTCAAGGCCTTTCCTGCTCCTCACCCCAGCCCACCAGCAAGCAGAGCAGGGTGCAGAAGTTGGGAGAGGACTATTCTGCTCTGTTCCATTTCTGTCCTATTAAACAAACTTTATTTCAACCCAGGAATTTTACTTTTTTTCCCCCTTCTCACTGGGGGAGTGGGTGGCTGTGTGGTGTTTAGCTGCCTGTCAGGTTAAACCACACCACCTCTGCACTTCCTTCCTGCCACTCCTGTGATCACCTCACACTTTCTGTGTAGGACATACCACACAAGGTTTCTTCAGTATCTAGCTGGTAGGTACCTGCAGTTGCCTGTGGCTTTAAACCTTCTAAAAAGCTGAGGATATATACTTTTAGGATAAAAAAATGACTACAATAGAAGTTTGTGAAAAAGCAGTTTTCTCTGCATTAATAGTTCAAATCTTGTTTTTTAAGCCCCTCAAACCAACAAAAGAACCAACAAGGAGACTCCTGCTTACCTGGATGCTACAGCCCACCCTGGTAAGCCAAATCTTTCATAGTCTCCTCCATAAATATCCCGAACCAGCTTGTCAGCATGTGTGCTGTCTCCTTTGGATGCCATTTCCAGAGCTTCTTCAAAACTTTCACAGCCCGTCAACAAACTGCACAAACCAAGGAAGGTCCCTCCACCTAGACTAAGGACAAAGCAAACTAGTTGCTTTTAAGTAGTATTTCCCTACATGAAAGATTCTTATGTCTGACTAACAAAATAAACAAATAAAGCCCTACAACTTATACCGAGCTATTTGCTTTTCTGTATAAGATTCACTTCACAAACAGCTGTCAATCAATTTCACGTTATTTTAAGTCACTTACAAGAAGGTAAGAGCTAACAAATAGATATAAACTCTCAAAATGTAAGCTGGAAGACTTAATCAGAGACAAACTCCTTAAATACCCATATCATGCCACTGACTGATCCTTGATCATTTACTGTAAAACACATGTGGACACATCTCTTCTTATGGAGCAAGAGGAACACAGGTTCACTGCACACATTTATCAAAACTTAAAACCTATAAAACTCTCACTATGGAACACTTTTATTACTCATTGATTGATGAATAAGATAGACTAAACTCCTCAACGGGAATGGGCTTCAAAGAATGCAACTCTAATTTACACACAAAATACTTTCCCATACTAGAGAGTGAAGAAAAGAAGAGGTGGGGGAATCAGGGAGAGGAAGCACTTCAAACACAGAAGGCTCATTGTCCCACAGAGCAACAACCCCAAGTCAGGTTTTTAAGTTACCTTGTTCCAGTTACTCTTTTATAGTTGTCTTTGGAATGGACTGATAAAATGCTGACTCCTGAACCAATGTTAACCACCAGCAGTGGGTAGGGATCATCCAGGTTAAAAGGCATCTTTTGGCATCTCTCGGGGTCTGAGGCATTTTCAAAATAATAGCACTCTGCCTGGCCATTGAAGCTGACAGAGTCTATGTACAATAAGCCTTTGACAAGGCAGTCAAGCTCATCCAGTTTGTGCAGCTGGAGGTTTCCAATCTGTGTTAAGAAAGAAAAAAAGACTGTGTCAACATGTTCTAACATTGCACAAACATGCTACAAATTTATGAGTATATCTGTACTGCCCAACTTTGGGAAGCTCTCTCAGACGGCTAATTCAGGAACTTCAATCTCAGTATAAAACCAACAAACAAGTTCTGAATACATCAATTAGCAAATCCATCTGACTATAAATCTACATCTCAGACCTGAGTCAAGAACAGACAGGCAGTAAAAATATCTGCTTTGGTAAGCTCAAATCAAAGATAACTTTTGAGATGCTAAGACATTAACCCGTTGAAAAATTAGCAACATTTTCCACTGGTTTAAATCTAAAAAAAGGTCACCAAATACCTTAAAGGCCCCACTGAGTGTTATCTTAGTGGAACTCAAACATCTGCACATCTTTTCAAGGTCTGTGGGTTTCCTCCCCATCTTACAAGTCAAACAGTCATTTCTAGGATGTCAGCAGATAGAAAGCTCAATGGAATCACATTAACTATCCTTGCAGCTTCATTAATGCTCCAAAGATTATCAGAAAACCACAGGGCAGAAATTCTGAGGGGCTTTAGGCTCACTACAGCTCCTCCTCAGTTTTGCACGTGACATTTAAGCTGCCGTTCTCTCATAGAGCAGAAAGGCAATTTAACAGGTGCTGGCGATTCCACAAAGGCTGTAATTTCCTATACTTGATGCAGTCTGTAATTAATAATATTTAAGCATTGCACAGTTTTTCAAAATACTGATTATTTATCCCATCACCAGCAATGCTTTTGGCATCAGCTCCAGGGTACCTACTGTGCGAAAGTCTTCTTCGAACTTGTACGCGCCACCGCCGGTGGCACAGAGCACCGTGTGTAGTGTCGAAAAGTTTTTGTTCCTTCCCATTTGGATAAAAGTAGGCAAATCATGAGTTGGGAATCGGATAAAGTGCAAGTTTCCTCTTCGAGCAAAAATGGTCAAGTCTTTCAGCTCCAGGTGGACGTCCCGAATGCCAGTGGATCCATAGGCTACATTGGAAGTCAGGTATTTGCGGATGCTCTTCAAGCTTTCAACCTCCTCCTGCTCCTCCTCTGCAGTGATGTCAATGGGTTCAAAGTAGGCAAGCTTCACCAGCGTTCCCCCAATGTCCATGCCAAACCACGGGAAAGCTGTGAAGGTACCAGAGTTATTGTTAAAGAGACAAAGCCATACGTGGAACTTAAGAGTTAAACCAACGCCGTACTACTTTTTCAACAAGATATTAACAACAAACCTCATGGGAGTGAGGAATTAGCGCTCATTTCAACTACATGACCTTAAATATCCCTCTGGCCACAGGCAAAAATGGGAAAATTAGCAACTCCACGCATTTAAATGCTATTACACGTGCTCAGGAAGCCCAGCTAAAACTCCCCAAATTATACCATATCTTTCAGACCAACTTCTAAACAAAATTCAACCACTTTTTTTTAACTGAGAACAAAGGATTAAAATAACCTTCCCTTCTAAAATAATAGCTCTGACGCACTTCAGCAATGCACAGGGGAAGAAAGCAGGTTACACATTAGAGCTGGCAACAGAGCAGGACAATATTCTTCCTCTAACAGCTCTTCACACAACATGTTTGAGAGAGAAGCTTTAATTTATTTGCATGCACTTTAAAAATTGGCACAGTTAAGACACCCAATTTATATCCCTTGAAGTTAAAAGGATAACAAAAAACTTCTATTAAGAACTACAAGCAAACCACAAAATTAATATTAGTGAATCTAGGTTCCAATTTTCTTTTTTCTGTACCTTGGCTAGAAGAGGGCATTTCTGTACTACAAAACAACAGTAAACCAAATGCGTTGCCTTTGTGACTTCTGTGGGATGACTGCAGTTCCTAACAGGTATTTTATGGTCTATGACATGCAGGACCATAATTTGAATATACCTTTAACCAATAAATTTTCCCAACCACGTGCAGTGCAACAGATACTCAGTAACCCTACAGCAAAGACAACACCTTCATCTGACAGTTTTCCCACTGTCATCTCCCAGAAACAGTATTTAAAATTTAATTTGTACGTTTAAGATTCTGAATATCCAGCTGGGAAGCTCATGTTTTTATTTTCTAACTGACATTATAGATTGTTTGTTTTGCTTGCCCCCCCCCTTTTTTTTTTTTTAGAGTTCCAATTTATTTCTTCAGATGCAATTCATATCTTACACAAACATGACACTCAGGGACAAAACCAAAAAGATGTTAACATGTTCATCATGAGCAAGATGCAATTACACTGAATTTACATTACTAGTGGGACGTATCCTTGAGAAGAATGATCTACCAAAATATTTTAACGTATTTAGGCAAGGCTGGCTGTGTGTCAGTTCATTTATGAGTGCTAGAGTTAAAACCAAAAGAAATTTCGAAGTTGCCTCAACTTTCAGGAATGGGTGCCCAGGGAATATTGTCAGATAGTAACAAAAAACGTTTAGTTGGTTACCCTACTCATCTTGAATAACTGAATTTAAATACAAGAGTAAGTTCTGTGAGCAAAATCTAGCTTCAAGGGGAAATAAAGAAGGTCTGTATCTCTGATAATCAGTTTCATAAAGCTGAGGTCTAAGCATAAAGCCACACATGACCTGATTCTACAACTGCCTGACTTCTTTACCCTGTGGCTCTGGACACAAGAAAATTTGTCACCTTATTGTTTGACCACAATTAGCTGATAACTTATTAAGTGACCTCATCAAGTTTCAGCCTTTTTCCATAAACGTTGTCACAAGACCAAAAGCAAAGAAGGGAAGTTGATTCACCCACCAGACCAGAACACGTCTGCAGGAGTCAATCCAACTCATTCAGAATTTAACTCTGACACAGCAAGCCAAGTACTACCTAAAATATTTGGGACTCTCCCTGCTCAGTGGGCCTACTGGATAACTAGGATCTAGTCCTCCACAACAGGAGAGAGGGGGAAACAGCTGAAAGTTCAGGGAATGAGCTTAACGAAGATTTGGTGCAAGCCATGCCTGTTTGTCAGAAGATCCACCACATCCCATGTTAAATGATCCAAAAGGCTTTTGCAAATACAGCATTAGTCACATTCCTATAAATCTCAAGGTTTATAAATCAAGTATATCAAGTAAAAAACAAGAACAACTGAACTGTAAGTTTATTCCATAATGCAAACAGGAACATGTTTTATGTTGACAAGTGGGATGATGCTGCACAATATCAGTTTTCTGGGTTAACTGAATGATCTTAACAGCCATTTCAGGATTTTGAAACTGAAGAAATAGGTCAGTGTTCACATCCGTGACAAAACCCCAAGAAGTTTCACATTTTTCTATTGAAAATTTGTCAAGATTTGGCTGGTAGGCACATTGCTCAAGTTTCATTTGCAAGGTGGAGGAGTTCTGACAAACAAGCGGGCCCACGTCCTGTTAACTTACTCCTTATACCAGCAGTCCAGAAGAAGGAATTACACAAGGATTCTTGTGCATGTAAGCCACTCTTGATTGATTTATATTGATTTTATTGCAGGTACAGCCAGAAAAATTACAGACATTTTGTGCTTCAAACACAGAAGGGAATACACACATGTGGCAAGAGCACAATCCGTTGGGACTGCAAGGACACAAGATTTATCCGTGCTTGAGCTGCCTTTAACTAATGGAAATACACTGATTTTCCTGAATTTTAATACAATTGGACACAACATAGAAACCTCCTATAGCTGCAGCCTTCAAATCAGATTGCTTTGGGAGGATCTTGGCTCAGAATCCATCCTGTCTGGATGCAGAAGGATTGAAGGAAACAGGAACCCACGTGGAAACACAAAATTACTGGAAGTGTTTTCATTTGCAGGGTTAAAATCAGGCCAGAGAGATTCAGGATCGAGGACTAGGCAGAGTACTATGGAGAATTTGCTACAAGACTTCCAGCAGCCAGGCTAATCCTGACAATGCCTGAAGAGGACACACAGACTTCAAGTCCTGCCCTACATACAAAGAACCTTGTGCATCATTTTAAACCACATATATGAGCTCTCTGCTTAAGGGGAGGTTGCTGCTCTTTTAGGAGTGTTTGAAGCACAACTTTTCACTCTTACACAGCATATCTGCATCAGTAGCTGGTATGGTCTCTCAAATCCATGAAAGATTTCTCAGGAAGTCTTGTATTTGAAAGCTGGCTTGGAACACGACAAAAATAGCGTGGTGTGTACCTTGGGCTGAGAATATAGCAATGACTCTAAAAAGTATTTTTATACTTGTATCTGTGGGTCATGCTTCTCTAAGTGAGAGATGTAGGAGAATGCCAGCAACAGAATCTTCTGGAAAAAAATATCCCCAGATATCAGCTTGATCCTTTCAGCAGTCACAGTTAAAGAAATGTGCCTGGATGACACCAGTACCAATTACACAACCTTCCTTTCAAGCTTATAAGTCTGCAGATACCAGGTTTGAGGACTTGCACAACTGTAACCATTCCAAAGCTTCACTTCCTAAGGAGAATCAATTCCTTTGCATTAAAAATGGGCTTTTTTTCCCACAGCTCTAGGGGATTAGGTCATTAAAAGATTTTTCTCAGCTCTTCCTCTTTGTAACTATTTTTATTCCTAGGAAGATTTCACAAAAAGTGATGCACAGATTAGAAGTATTCCTTGCTGAGCATTTGACTGCTATTCACAGAACAAATCCAGGGCCCATCTTTTCAAAGTTCAGCTCATCTTTGCAGAGGTCAGATTCAATTTGAAAACAAGAAAAGTAAAACTGAGCTTTTTATTCAACAAGCCCAACTGCCTTTGATAGACTATATAAAACTCCTTCAAAAACATGCATTCTGCTTTTAGGGAATCTGTTTAAGAATACACAAAACACAGATTTTTATTATCTGAGAAGAGACAGATACTTGAAACAGAACACTAACTGGGAAATCAAAACCCATATGGTGTTTAGTGTGATACTTCACACCAAATTTAACTGTCTCCAGGACAGCAAGAAGGAGAATCATAACATACAACCTCCTTAATTCAAATCCAGGTTTTCTTTCACTCCCCAGCTCTGTCAGGAGCCACTCTGGTCCCTACCTAGACACGGTAACCATGAACCTTTGCTATAAAGCAACAGATTGTTCCACACATGCCATGAGAAAGCTTTGAGGGGCAACCCCTCAAAAAAATCCAAATGTTTAAGAGGATTCCCTAGCACTGCTCCCTGCAATGTAGAAAATCACCTTCCACAAGGGAGGAGCGCTGTGCTCATGCAATGATGTAGCAGTTCTGCTGAGTAAGAAAACCCCATGCTGATGGCTGTTGGTTGTTTTTTAAACCATAACAATCTTTAGAGATACAGAGGGAGGCCTCATTCTCTTGTGTCTGCACTTTTTAAGTTCTTGGTGTACATAGTCACTGGCAGAAATCTTACGGTTATTTATATCCTATCATATAAGGTATTTATATGCCAAAGGAAATAATTCCAGTGAAAAGTCTCTCATGCCAATATAGACACAAAGGTTGAAGTGTTTTCCTTTTCCACGGGCTCTGCTTCAGCAGAGCAGAGGACTTTCGAAGCTCTCCACCCAGACCACACACTAGTATTCTGATTTTGCACACCCACTTTGGATCCGAAGCTGCAGGAAGCACAAACTCAAAGACTTAACTACTCCCCCTTATTCAGTCAAGTGTAAGACCCTTCAGTTTAATGCTCTATTTGTATTTGGCTTTTAAAAACTGAGAAACAGATTCCTGTCAGCCTCTTCCCTAAGAATGTAATGACACATCTGAAATACAAACACCTTTCAAATCCTTCCTTCTCACTGTAAGATACAGTAACATTCTGGGTCAACCCTGCTGTACATTAACAAGAACCAACCTTCAAAGAAGAGTAGCTAACTTCTATTTCAAGCTGGGAGCTCTGCACCATGAGAAAAAAAAAACCACACAAATTCACAGCTGTCAGTGACAGCAAAGAGCAGCCTACATCATTTAGCGTCACCTTTGCAAGAAAGCTTATGTATTATTAAGACTGTTGCACTTCAAACACAAATGAACCCCGGCGAAAAACTGCCAAAGGGTGCCAAAGTTCATGATTCTATACAGCCCTAAAATAGAGGGAAGGAAAATGATCATGAAAGCCATGAAAACTTAAGCCTACTCCTGCTGGCACTGCAACAGTTCTTTATGAAAGTATGCAGTATTATCAGTTATGATACCCAAAACTTATCTTCTAATTCAGCCTTTGATAATAAAACCTTGATCCTATTCCTACCCGAATACTGACAAGGCAAACAACTATTTAGAAGTTATACTGAACTACTACACACTGAAGTGTTTACACAGAAACTAAAATGAACCCTGCAGTTTCTCCAAATGCATTTTCCTCTGTGTTCATACATCCATTCTTACACTGCCAGTCCTTCCCTAAAACACGTGCATGCAGTGGAGTAAAACTTGATGGCAAACTATCAGCTGAATCAGCTGGCAGGCCAAGGCAGCTCATGTGTGCAACGGGAGAAGCGAAGGGAAAGCACCCCAAGGGCTGTGCAACTGCTGCATCAAGCAGGATTAACCTGATGGGTAGGCAGCAAAGTGCCTCTGCTGCACCCATGTCCAGGGATGCACATGGGTATGAGCCTCTACAGAGCAAAACTGCACTTCAAATGTCCTTAGTCCTTGGGGCACTGCAGACTTTCTCTCCTTAACAAGTTTTGTAACAGGTTTTTGGTTCAAATATCCCAAGTCCAGCTCAAAATACAGAATTAATGCATAGATTACATGTATCTGGCACACCCTGGCACATCCTGTCATTTTTCTTTGTGGGAAAACTTCTCCATCACGCTCCACAAACTCCTTGCACTTTCCCACTCAGCCTCCTCTAATCAGGCTCCATAACAGCCACAGTTACCACTGGGAGGACAGGTGGGAATGGGCAATTACTGCAATTGCTCTTCATGAGGTTCATCACATCCACAAGTGGATGCCATATAAAGCTACCACAAGACAAAACATCACTGCTTTCATCTTCTCTCTCCTTGCTCATTCTCCTAATTTTGTTGACATTTCAGCAGCCATGTCTTTGGGGATAGGTGTAATTACAGTGAGATACAGCATGCGGAGGCATAATTTAACACTCACAGATACACTGTGTTTAACACAGTATAAACTGTGCCTGGCAGTATTAATCCATTATTAGAAACATGCTTTTCAACTGCAGTCAAATGAGGGCCTGTAACATCTGCTATTGGCTAGTAAACAGCTTTCAAGGACTAATAAGAAAATGCTAGGATACCCAAGACTATGCAGCAAGTTCACCAATTTTACTACACTAATCCTGCATGGGATCACTGTGTCCATGATGATTATATTTATCCAGAGAACCACATTAAGAGAAACTAAACTTGAGATTTTCATCTTTTCTTTATACTGATATAGCACTTTGCAAATCTTTGCTATGTATGTTCATCTTTAGTGTGTCTCAAATCGCCTCAAGGGAAACGAAGGCATTTGTTCTCAAACTATTTTCAACAAACAATCAAAAAGAACGCACTGTAAAAAGTAACATACACAGTGTACTAGATGTTGGAAGTCTCTGCCTTTCCTTCAGCAGTGCATTACACTCCAGAGCCAAGAGGAAGGGCTCCAGCTCCCCTGGAGAGCACAGCACGCTGGCACTGTCCCTCTCACCCTCCCCGCCAACATGCAGAGTTCCCCCTGACTGAGTGGCTGCTCTCTTCCCTTCAGGCAGATCCCACACAGCAGCAGGACTCTCTGCTCCCACATTTGTCATACCAACCCACAAATAACCTTTGGAAGTTTCCTTGAAAATTGCCAGCCGTTCTCCCCCAGAGGCATTTCCTCAGAAGAGTTATCACGCAACTGCTGCTTGGAAGGTTCCTCCCGGGGTCATCTGGTCTGACCTCTCCGTCACACCAGCAGGAAAACTGCCAACTCGAGATGAGGTCAACTACGGCTTTGTCCAGCCAAGGCTTTAAGACCTCTGAAGTTTTTGAGGAATCCTCTAAGAATGGAGACTCCACAACCTCTCCACTGCCACGCTAACTTAGTCAAAAGCTTTCTCGATGTGAATTTCTGCTCTCCTCCTTTCAAATGCTGACACCTGCCATCCCCAGCAGCTGAGATTTAAATGGCCCTTTATGAGCCTCTTTCAAGGCAGCCAACCTCAGAAGCTGTGTTCCACAAATTCAGCTGCATTTCTCAGTTTTCAGTCCACCAAATTAGCAACATCCCTAGCCAGGTGAAGATCTGGAAGGGAGGACCACACAAGCATGTCTAGGCAGTTGTATCCACATCAGAAGCCCTGAACTGGTTGGGTGTCTCCGTTTTACCCTCTCTGATGACTGACATGACAGGCAGTGCAATCATGCCTTTTTTCCTGATGCCAAACATCACAGATGAAAGCCAAGGTAGGCTAAGGCAATCTTCTCGATTCCACTCTGCACATACTTAAGTTAAATAATGATTAACCATTTTTCGCTTGCATCAAATTTGGCTCCAGCACAGATGATTAGATACTCACTCAGTCTAAGGAATATACCCACTCAGCAATTGTGCTGAAAATTATCTACAACTGTCTTAACCAAATAATTTGTAAGCAGTCTAAAAGTGGTACCGTGAGCCCAGCTTTCATGTCAGTGTGAGCAGTTAAGCCGAACTGACAGCAGATTCGGGGCACCAGAGCCTCTGAACTTCTCCATCTTCAGTATTTCTGTGGATCTGCTGCTCTTCAAACATTCAGCTGCTCTCCCACTTCAGTCAGTGTGGCTAACCAGGATCAGAGATCAGCAAAACGAGTCTAAAGTTCATCGCCTAAGAAACTAAGTGCTATTATCTTTAAAAAAGCCACCAACTTCGAAGTATGTTCAAGAGTCAAGAAGATATAAACAACATAGTTTGACACTGTATTTTTCCCCTCCTGCCTCTGCAGTTCCAACTGTTTCTAATTCCCATCATGAAACCAACATCAAACTTCAGGTTCAAGAAACTGAAGAGTGCAACTACAACTGTAGCATATTTGAGCAGCTAAAACTTCTTGGTAACATTTGCATTGGTATTTAACCAGGAGGTTTAAATCCACCACTACACAGAACAAATCTTTGAGGTCCAGCAGAGACACTCCTGAAATTAGCATGTTTCTGCAGTAAGAACAGCCATACTCTCACAATTTTGATTAACAAACCACAGTAACATTTTACAGCCAGTTATTGCTTCAGAGTCTTGATAACATTCCTTAATGTTATACCAGGGGAAAAAAAAAATGCTGTCTGAACTGTATTCTTAATAAACACCATTACAGTAAATTCAGGAATTTCCACACACTGGCAGTAACAAGAGGTGATGACTAACTGGGTGCTACAAGATGCACATTCAGGCTTTCCCCAACAGACCACAAGAAACAAGGTACTTTCACAGCTATTATAGCTGTTTCTAGAGCTACACTAACACTTCCTGTTTTTCATACGTCTTTGATGGTTTTCTTATTGGGCTGCTCAGACAATACATGTAAAACATCCCCTTTCAAGATCCTCTTTTAGCTGCATGCTGCTCATTTGCCAGGCATGCCATAGGGCCACACAGCAGGCCTAGAAATTTGGGACTAGACATTTTTTTCTACACAGTAACTCACCCTGAAAGTACTTCTTTAAGTATGATGACAATGATGCTTAATTCGGTGGAGCAATACCTGCATCCCTTTCAGCCAAGGCACACCTGTATTAGCTTGACAGGTGTGTTGACTTGCACAGCTGTACATCGTTTGCATGTAGATTAACTTTACTCAATCCATACCTCTCTTCCCACAAAGAAGCACCTGTAGTCTGAAGACATTTTGTTTGCTTTCACCTGAGTCTGAACCACGTTTGTGCCCTCCAAAACAAATACGTGCTCAAAACCATTAAATAGTAAGGATATTGTTACAGCTGTGCTTATTAAAGGGGAGCACCCAGCGTATTTTAAAGACCTGCATCCAATTAATAGGAAATATTCTCTCTAAAAAGGATCAGGATTTGATTAGCCCTTAAAAAGCAAAACTGTAGCAACTGCAGCCACCTGCGCAGGTGTTCGGCACAGCGATTAAGTGCCATCTCCATCAAACACATCACCCGCACCCAAAGGAACCGATGATATCGCTTTCTAGTCAAAGAGAAGCCCTTCCCCCGCGGATCCCGCGAGCCCCGACCCCTCCCTCCGAGGGACGCACAGGATCGAGGATGGTCTCCGCGGGCACCTCCCGGAGCCATAGCGGGGCAGCGCCCGCCGCGCCGGCCCCGCGCCCCCTCCCCCGGCCCTGCCCGGCCTTACACGGCTTCTTGGCATCCTTGATCTTCATGGCGCTGCGGCGACGGCTCGGCTCGCTGCCGGCCGGGGCGGGTCTCCTGTCCCTCGCCTGATGGGGCGGGCAGCGCCGGCGGCTCGGCGGGGCCGGGCCTCGCTCTCCTGATGCTCGTCGCCCGCGGCGCGCCCGCCTCCCGGGGAGCGGCGCTGGCCGCGCCCGCCGCTACGCCCGCGGCCCGGGCTGGGGCCGCTCCCGCCGCGGCATCGGCGCTGGGGCTGGGGCGGGGAGACGGGGCGGGGCGGCCGCGCCGCGAGCGGAGGTGGCGGAGCGGAGCCGAGCGGAGTTGAGCTGAGCGGAGGAGCCGAGCGGCGGCCCCGGCACGGGCACAGGCCCCGCTCGGGGGCAGGAGCGGCCCCGGCGCTGCCCGCGGAGCCCCCGGCGCGGACTCGGCACAAGATGGCGGCGGCGCCGGAGCCGCGGCCGCGCACACAAAGGGGCCGGGGCGGCTCCGCGCCCGCCCCGCCGCTGTCGCTGCCGCAGCCGCAGCGCTGCCCCCGCCCGGCGCGGGGCGAGCCGGGAGCCGCAGTCCGGCCGCGCCTACAGCTCCCGGCGGCCCCCCCGGCCCCTCACGCCACGGGCCCGCCGCCAATCGCGGCCCCGCCGCCGCCCCTCGGCAGTGGGGCACGGGCTAAGGGGGGGGGGACGGGGAGGCACCTCAGAGCACCCTCACGGTGCAAGCCGGTGGCCTCTGTGCGGCTCATGGGGCACGGGAGCCACACCGACGCTCCGTGTCGCTCGGTAATTTATTGAGCTTCCTGCTCAATAACGTAGGAAGCTGCAGTTTATTTTCGTTTCCCCTCGCTGCGGCTGAAGCGTTTAGGAAATGGCTCTTTTCGTTTTGCTGGTGTCTGGACTCAATAACTGCACCGGTAGCGTCAGTCCTCGGGCAGTTTTTCCTCACCCGGTACAAACAGGGCTGATGTTTAGAAGCACAATCACTGAATCAGTTAGGTTGGAAAACCCCTCTGAGATGTTCAACCTATGGCCCCACACAACCTTGTCAACAGGACCACAGCACTGAGTGCCACGGCCAGTCGTTCCTTAAACACCTCCAGGGATGGGCACTCCGCCACCTCCCCGAGCAGCCCCTTCCAATGCCTGACCCCCTTTTTGGGGAATAAATGCTTCCTGATGTCCAACCTGAACCTCCTCTAGCACAACTTGAGGCCTGTTTCCTCCTGTCCCTTGTCCCCTGGGAGCAGAGCCCGACCCCCACGTGGCTCCACCATCCCACCAGGGAGTTGCAGGGAGTGAGAAGGTCCCACCTGAGCCTCTTTTTCTCCAGGCTGAGCCCTGCCAGCAACCTCAGCTGCTCCTCATATCCCTGAATCTCCAGACTCCTCCTCGGCTCCATTCCCTTCTCTGGACATGCTCTAGCACCTCACTGTTCTTCCTAAACTGAGGGGCCCAGAACTGGACACAGCACCTGAGGTGCCTCAGTGTTGCCCAGTACAGAGGGACTATCCCTGCTCTCATCCTGCTGGCCACACTATTCCTTATACAGATCAGGAGGCTGTTGGCTTTCTTGCCCACCTGGGTACACGGTGGCTCACATTCAGTACATGTGTGTATGAGTACACTCAGTATATGTCTTGCCCTGTATGAGGTTATGGAGTCTCTCCTGACTGTCTGCAGCTGGAGGGAAGCCCACTGATGGTGGCAGGACATGCTGAGATCTCCAACCTACTCCTCACAATTCCAGGTTTTCCAGCAAGAACTCATAACAGAGTGACCAACTGGTTTCTCCCCTGTCCTGTGTGATAAAGTGCCATGTAATTCTAGATCAGTTACTGTGGTCTTGGATGGCTCTAAAAGCTCTGATATGGGAGGAGGATTTGGGCATAAGCTCTGTCTTGGAAGCTGAAATATCCTGGAGTTTTGCTTTGGCAAAAGTCTCTTTTGAAATAACCCTTCACAAACCCAGGACAGACTAAATCCTCAGCTTCCTGGGCACAGGGTTTACTCACAAACCTGTTGTGTAGAAACAGGAACCACATCTCTTAATCCTCCATTCCCCTGCTGCCCCTAAACGTGTACAAAAGAACTCTTTTACCCCATACCAAGTGACCTTTGCTTAGCCCTGGTCACTGCCTTCCTTCAGGAAAGGATTTTGGATGTCAGATCCCAGAAGAGGATGGTGTTCACTTACCACCCTATTACCAGGAAAGCTTTCAGGTGTAGACCTGTCCTCAGTGCCAGCAGAGCTTTGCTCCCCCCACTGACTACCAGCCCAGGCACCTCATTTTGTGATTCTCTGTCTGATTTGAGCACTGGTATTTTGTTGGTATTTTTATTGTCTGTCATTCTAAAACCTCCCATGTAAGGATTTATTCTTCATTTTAATCGAGAATCTTATATTAAAAAAGCTGAATCTCTCATGTGGAGGCCGTCTCCCATTTATGTTTCATTTCTGAAATGTCTGTATTTGGAAAACTTACTCTAAAGGCTTCTCACTGTTTATTTCTTGTCCTTTAAAGGAAGTTCAGGGTGTATCAGCAAGGCTGCAGAACTTCTCTCTTTCTGTAAGCTACATGTAATTGTGGAAATTCCAGCATGTTCTTCATAAAGTGAGGAAACTTTGGTGTGGTTTTGTGGTTTTTCACTGCAAAGTAGTTTCTTATTGAAATTCTAAACGCAAACATTTACATACATGTTGGGGAATAGAAGAATTTAGCTGCTACCTGAAAGTTAACTTGTACGCGCTCATAAATATACACTGTGATTGGAAAAGAGAGTCTTTCATTTCCTGCCTGTCACCAGACTATGCAGCGTGGAATGTTTGGTGTAAAATGAGCTATCCGGTGTCTCGCACACATCTCTGGTGGGGTTGGGGAAAACAGATCTGCAGGGAGATTTTTCATTACCTTAATTCCAGGTTTATTTTTTCCAGCGCCTACACTCTATGACTGTATTTCCTACACACCTTCTAACTCTAGAGGAAATGAAATACCATCCCTGGGAAGTGCTGGTAATAAATATATACATGCAACCCAGAGAAACAAGGAAAAACCTAGTCTACAGCCTGACAGCTGTCCAATTCCTGCTGTCTAGAAACAGACAGAAAAGTTCCTGACCCAGCCTTTCACTGAGGAAATTATGATCTCCTTTTCCAGCAATGCAGATTCACTGACTGCTTTCCTAACCTCTGACTTTGGTCAGGGACAAAAATACATATCTTGTGACTAAGTTTTGAGAGCGAGTTCTGAATTTGAATACACGGGATGCCCACTTTATGCTATTTTATCTAGCAAACCCTCTTAATTCATCTCCCTGTGTAAAAATATGGGAATAAATAATAGGCCCTGTGATAATTAACGAACTGAGGGCTGTTCAATTTAAAAACAAGATCAGCAAATCTGAAGGTTCAGTTTCTTCACAAGAAGCTGCAGTGTTATATCTGAACAGCATAGCTAATACAAAATGTGAAACCCCCCCCCCCCAAGCCGAGATCAACACCCAGCTATCTTTAGTCCATCTCAGAGCAGAGGTTTACCTCAAACTGGAAACTTAGCACAGGCATGTGAGAGGCTCAGAACGTTCCTTAATTTGCAGATCAATTGATTTATAGGTTATGAGCACTTTGGATTGGAGTTATTTGTATGTCAGTCAGCATGTGCTTGGAATAGCCCCTAAGAATAAATCAATCTGAAGGTGAATGTATGATTTGCTATTTAAATATAAATGTGTGTATATATATATATATTTATATATATATATACACACACTTATATAACCAATTCCAAGCAGTAGTTATTAACTACTGTCCTAAAGTACTACCTAGTGCCTGTAGGGAATTAAACCACATGAGAGTATTCTTTATGAATGAAATACCTGAAGTTGAAGAATATTTTTTTGAACTAATATTACTTACAAAGATGTTTTTGGGCAAAACAAAAACTGTTTTATTGCTATATAAGAATCTCATTTATTTATAGGTGTGACCAATTTAATCTATGTCTTCATGCCCTAAACCATACTTTGGTATTTATCTCAATATAGTAAATTAAAAAAAAGTATTAAAACCCCCCATCCCCCAACAGTTCAGTGAGTGCTTTACCAGGAGAAACAAGGGCAGGTTAAGAGGTGCAAAATGTGCTAGTGTATAATTAAGGAAGTTTAAGCTACTCTGTAGTAACTGCCTGTTCTGCATGCTCTTATCACATGCTAGGTGAAAGCATGATATTATCTCCCGTGCTGCAAAGTCCCCACCTAAATTACCTTGTGGTATTTGGTTCCTGTAACCTTGCTCTGCAAGCAAAGTGTCTAAGGCAGGGCTGAGGCATTTGCTTGTCATGGTTTAACCCCAGCCAGGCCTCACACAGCCACTTACTCAGTGCCCCAGCAGCAGATCAGGGAGAGAATCAGCAGAGTAAAAGTTGGGAAACTCGTGGGTTGGGATAAGGACAGTTTAATAGGGAAAGTGAAAGGTGTGCGTGCAAGCAAAGCAAAACAAGGAATTAATTCCCACGGGTGGACAAGTGTTGAACCATCTCCAGGGGAGCAGGATTCCACCACATGCACACAGTTAAATGCTGCTGGTGGAAGATTAGCTGGAAGACTGGACCACTGAAAATGTAACAGACTGACTTCCCTGTGAGTTCTGAGCTATCTTCTGAGCACCTGCTTTCCTCCCTTCCACACACCTCTGAGGTAGGATGTGTGTTTTTCCTCCCCAGGTAAGACACAGCAGTTGTAAAAGGTTATTTTTTACAGCAAAGGAGTGATCCTTGTGCTGTGGGGAGAAGCCTCACAGACAGTCAGAGAAGGCAGAGTCATCCCCAGACTACCTTGAGCATTCCTGTACTTTGAAAGCACAGAAGCCTTGGGAAAGGAAGAGGTCAAGAGATCACGTAGGAACAAGACACAAAGCTATGCAAGTCTCGCAGCAGCTTCTGTTCCTCCTGCTTGTGAGACCACAGGGTGTCCCCCTGCGTCATGGTGTAAGTTTAAGCTTCCTCATACTAATAAGTACTGCTTGTACTGTGTGTGTGCTCTGTTCCATGCCTGAGGAGTTTCTTGCTGCCTGCAGGGGTCTCTGAGGGTGAATGTGCTCAGAGGAACAGCTGTGCTTTCTTCATAGGCAAGAGGTACCATGGGCTGCTCGGAGTAGAGCCCTGCTGGATAATAAACTGCAGGCACACAGTGGGTGAGGAAACAGCAGCAGAATTGGGGTAGAAATAGCAGAATCAGTTGTTATTCCATAAGCTGCTAGCACTAGGTATCATCAACAGCAGCCTAGTGACACTGCCATCAGGCCACTGTCCTGGGGTTGCCATAGTGCATAGGCACAAGCTATCCCATATGCCAGCACGTGGAGCCATTGTCCTGCTGCCAAGGGATGGTGCTGATGAAGTGTCAGACACCCTCGGATACCACACACACCCTCCTGGTGCTCAGCAGGGTCATCTTCCTGCTGCTGGTTCATGCAGTTTCCTGGGATAAACCTCAGGTTCCTGGCCACAGTGACCCCATGCCACATGTTCCTGCAAATGAGGACTCCTGTCCTCATGGGTGAGCAATGCTAGGAAGTTGCTAGCACAGAATTAATTAAACCTGAGAAGTTATTGTTTAAAACTCCCCAGAAAGTACATGTATCATGCACACATGTGCTCCTATGAGGACGACTTTGGACTTGTCTAGTGTGAACTATTCCCACATGTTCTGTCACTGGATCCCGGGGAGAAGAGCTCAGCACTTCCCTCTCCAGCTCTCCTCACAGGAAGCTGCATGAGGTCACCCTGCAGCCTCCCTCTCTCCAAAGATACACCAGAGGGGTTTATACGGGACATCAGGGCACATTTATTTATGGAGAGGGTGGCCAAACCCTGAAACACGTTTCCTGGAGAGGTGGTCACCCACCAGACCTGGCAGGGTGTGTGAGGCATTTGGAGAACGCCCTCAACGACGGGCGGGTGACTCGGCCAGCCCCGAGTCGCTCAGGCAGTTGAACCAGATGGTTGTTGTGGGTCCCTCTCTACTAAAATATTCCATTCAATTCCATCCCGTTCCATTCTATTCCCTGACATCGGGCTGGCGGAGCGGCACCACCTGGTGGCGGATCCCGTCACCTCAGCTGTCCCCGAAAGCTGCAGGGACACATCCCGGAAAACATCCCGGAAAACATCCCGGAAAACATCCCGGAAAACATCCCGGAAAACACCCTGGCTCAGCGCACACACAGAACGACACAGGACTGGCCACCCGGGGATCCAGTCTTACATTTCGCTTAAGCCGAAGGCATCGGGAGCACCCTGGGCTTGGCAAAACTAAGCCAACCCCGCCCGTCCGTCCCGCTGAACCGCGAGGCTGCCTGGTGGGAGCAGGAGAAGAAATCGGGATGTCACGGAGACCTCAAGTGACAGGACCCCAGAGAACAACGCAAACCCCACAGCCAACCACCCTGCAAACAGAAATGCCATCTGACTATCCTCTGCCGGCTAGAAAAAACAAAGTTAAAGGAACACGGGACAGACGAGTTTCCCGGCATTGTTTGCTAAAAAGCGGTACCTGGGGCACTGCAGGCAGAAGCGCAAACAGGAGCATTGTATCCCGAGGCTGCAGTTGCCCGAGTGCTTCCCGAGGGACCCACGTGCTGCAAAGCCACAAGCAATACCTGTTGAGCAAACCAGCGCAGCCACTACCCAGAAATTTTTGAACACTTCCCTGCTAGCTTTTTTAGTGGGCTCAGCTGGGTTTGCTTTAGGTGAAAATGCTACCATCTGCTACAATTATGTAATTAACCTTCGTAGTTCAGACTTAATGATGCTCATTAAGGTTGAGTGTTTTTATTGGCTGAGTGCTGTCACCAGCTTTGCTAGAATTGTAAAAAGACAACTCTTAAGGGCTATAGTTTGAAGCATAATTAGCAATACGTGAGTGTTACACAGGGACATGGGTGAGGAGGGCAGAGGAATCGGTGGGAGCTTCATTTTATTCTGTGCTAAGGCTGGAATGCAATGAACAACAGAGGTCTGTTACATCTGGGTCACTAATAATAATAATAATAATCAGCTACAGCAGTGTGGCAGCAAATTTAGAATATATGTTTCAGGACATCACAAGATCCCTGTCATCCACTGTGGGCTGTGTGACTTCTATTTCCTTAGCCAACCCTTCTCCAAGTCCAATTCACAAAATTTTTTCATTTATTCTAACATTAGTTAGTGAGTGTATTTTTGCCTTTCTCAAACAGTTTAAAAAAAGAGTAGCAAATAAAGTATGTAATTTAAGAAAAATGGCCAGGATCAAAAACTGTGTGGCTTAATTCATCTGTGCCTGTAAACTCCTAAAAGATTAGGCTGGTATGCCATAAAAATATGTAACCACTATTCATACCACCTTTAACTACAGCCATTCTCTGACTTGCTTTGTCCAAGAGGAACGCCTGTAGCTCTTCACATACTCTTAAAGCCTGGACTCATCACCTCAAATACACATAGAAATAATCTGCATCACAAGGCATTACAATCTTCCATAACCCAACAATTTATTTAAACTTACATCACAATGAGAATCTAATAATAAAATACATCAGTTCACACCAGTCTGCATTGCCATTTTTTAAGGGTAAGCATCTTTCTTCACTTTATATTAAAACTTTATAGAGGTAAAAACTACTGCATTGTACCCACAGTTCTCGAAATCTGGTGTAACATTAGGCAGGTTACAGAGGAACTTTCAGAGCTAATTACACTTCGGTTAACCTCACATTTTTGGCACATCTGAATGCTCTTTATTTTCTTCTTAACATAAAATAATTCTATAGCAAGTCAGAGAATCATGGACATAAAGCATCACTATCCAATGGCAAGTGCTGCCTAAAAGCATACAAAAATTGCATCATTTGGTTACAAAATAGTTCTTTATCCCAACTCCTAACATTGAAGTGCTGTGACAGAAAAGGGCCAGGAACAGGGCCGGCCTTGCTGAGTTGTTGCTGGTCCCTTTGCTGCAAGGCTTTAAGTAAATCCCAGAGTGATGTGTTAACAAGATGTTGATGGCTTTGGCCTTGCCAGGTCATTCCTTTCAAAGCACCCTCCAGCAGGTGCGAGGCCACCAGTAAATGTCACCCTCCTTCTCACAAGTGTTGCTGCTGCAGGGACGAAGTGAAGACAGGTTTGGGCAGTGCTAAAGAGGGGCTGTTTCTGCAGGCCTTGGCAGCCCAGTGGCTACAAACTGAAGAGCTGGTCAGCCACTGCTCAGTCTGGATTTCCTCTGCCTGGCACCACAGCAGTTTTTTCTTTAGAATGTCTTAAGCAGGAATGAAACATTAATGGTAGTGGTGTGCCTGGCACATATTTGCACAAGTGTTTGCAGTTACTGTGCATGAATTTTTAAAACCTGTAGTTGTGGGTTTAGGTGATTTTTGTTCTACACCACAAACCCCAGCTGCTATGAGCTTCTTATTATATTAAAAATAAAAAGCAGCCCACACCACAATACTTGTAATCAGGGTTAGTTTTTCCCTGGCTCTTGAGCTGTACTGTATCAATCAGAGATTGGCACATTTAGCAGTGATTACGTTTCACTGATTGCCAGCTCCATGGACTGATATTTATTTTGGGAGATGGCTATTGCATTGGTTATGTCCCTTCTGCTCATGTTGCTCATAACAAAGCAATATAAATGAACTGCTGCAGTTGAGGAGAGACTGGCATAGCAAAAGAATGAGCATGTTAGAGCTCTCTGGCTGTATAATAGCTGGATGCTCTCTGTGCTTTAATGGGAAATAAACATTTGTACTTGTCATGGCAGGGTTGCATTCTGTGCATCTTTCCAAAGCCCAAATCAAAAACAAAGCTTGTTTTCTTTATTCAGCTTTCCTACTCGTCCTTTGCTGAAGCCCCTAATCTGAAATCCATTTGATGGGACCAGTGAGCATTCCTAGAAGGACCTTATGGCTGCTAAGCATCTCTACTCAGTCTCTCTCTTAGAAAGAAATTGAAGAAAGGACCATGATACTCGCTGTATTTGGGAAAGAAAGAAATTACACAGATAATGGAACAGTTGGTGGTGGAGACGTTTGAAACTTACAGTAAGAGAGGTTTCAAGGTATCCGTGGTGCTCTCTGCAGGCATGTACTGACCCCGAAAGGCAGCCCTGACAAAAGCCCTTCAAAAACCAAACTCACTCCCAGAGTCAATTTTTGCCTGGCATCCGCAGTCAGAATTTCTCCCTGCGTTGGTTTCCATTTCCTATTCAGCACTTGGTCTGAACACAGCTCAGGCGAGCGGGGGTCCTTTGGGAGCCAGGAGTGCGGTACACGGAGCGCTGCGGAGCCGGTCAGTCCGCCCCTCTCTCTCCTTGTGCGGAGCGGAGGGTGCTGCCAAGGCGGGCAGATGTCGGCTGGATACCTCCACGTGGACATAGTGCAACTTCTGCTCGTTTAAAAAGCTGTGGGAAAGCAGCCGTCTGCTCGGTGCCAGAGTGTGGATGAACAGCAGCTACAGCCCAGCTCACACCCGTGGCTCAAGTGACAGCGGGAGTAAAAGCTGATACGTTGCAGGTGTGTTTCTGGCACCTGCAGTATTTTCATGCTCTTTACAACCTTTGCAATTTAAAGTGTCAAGGTGTGACAAATTATGTAGCAGTGCATTCCATATATTTCATATACAAAAAAAGGGCTCAAGGCTGGGAGCAAGAAGGCACAAACTTGGGAAATAACATAGCTGAGGAGTTTACACAAAAGTACTGTGTCATTTATTAGGCATCACTTAGCACTTATTTTCACATTTTGCCCCCCAAATTACCCAAAGCAACATAAATTTCCCCCACTTCCTTTTCCCTTCGCGCCCTCCTTCTGGATAAAGCTGCCTGTGCTCTATAGATACAGTTGCTCAAGAATATAACGTGAACACAGATAAATACAACATACACAGCAAAAAAATGTATTATAGTACTACAATAGTCAAATAATGTAATTAGCCTCCAGCTACGGCAGTGCCTGTGTGCTCTGGGGAACAAGTTCACGAACAGCAAGTGGGGCCACTGTACAGGAGCAAACCGAGGTTGGCAGTGTTGGGCAGAGCAAGGGGCTGAGGGGAGGCTCTCCGGGTGCCAGAGCAGGCAGATGGCTGCAGTTGGTCACAGAGGGATCCACTCGCTTGGGAGACCCAACCAGGAGATTTCTTCAGCCCGTGTCAGTTCGGCGGAGGGTCCTTGGAACACCTTTAGGTTTGTTCATTGTGCATACATATAAAGTCACCCCACATTCCTCCTGTTAGGCTATGTTTTCTTTATATATATATATATATATTTATTTTTTTTTTAACTTTTAACTTTTGAAATTTTTTTTCTTACAACTGTTAAAAAAGTTTCATGGTAAAAATAGCTCACTATATGATACATATACCCAAAGTGGTGCGATACTTTATATAATAAAAGATGAAAATAGTCACTTTCCATAATAAAAATAAGTTCTATTTTTTGCTTATTTTACAATATACTTAATAATTCTTTTCTTCTTCTTCACTCTGCAAGTAAATAGGTCCCGTTTTGATAGCGCTTCTGAGTCGATTAAAGTGGCAGGAGACTGGAGAATGGCTTTATAAGCATTTTGAGCAGCCGCATTCCACGTGTCTCTCCAGTTCTTCCGTGAAGGTGGAGCCATCCACGCACTGGAAGAAGTATTTCCGCCGTTTGCTGCGGAGAGGGACGCAGCACTGCCCGCTCCCACAGCTGCCACGGCACTCCAGGCGGGGCACTTTGGTGGCAGTGGCACACGACGTGTAGCCCTGCTGCTTCCTGACTACTTCTCGAATGGTGTCTCCTTGGCAGAGATTCTCTGGGAAGACAAGAGAGATGTAAAGAAAAAAAAAAAAAATTGGTAACTATTTTGCCAGATATTCCCCGAAATATCAGCAAACATCCCTGTACTCCTAACGTGGTTCAAAAACAGATGGCATGGGAAGGACCCTAATCTTTTACTGCTTTGTACCTGCCATGAAAACAGAGCTTGTGCTCCACAAATGTGTAATATCCGGTGCGAGGCCGAGGCCAACAGGCCTGCTGGCTTTGATCAGCAGTTCTGGAAACGCTTTAATGAATGCTGAGTGTTGAATCCTGCAACACCCCTGCAAAGTAGGAATTAGTTTTACCATGTCTGCTCCCCAGGAGCAAAGGTCAGCCTGCTCTGCAGGACACTGGTGGTCTGGGATACCTGAAAATGTCTGTGCTGTTCTGCAGTCACCGTGCAGCAGCCAGACACACTTTGGTGAGGCTGTACATCTGTATAATTTGAAAAGTCTGTAGCTCATTCACAGGAAAGGCATAACCTAAATAAAAATAATATAAGCCAGCTCTTTCCTTCTGTAGAGAAACAAAAATAAGGCAGAAAGGACGAAGTTGAGAGACTGAAGTTGAGAAACTCAGTGAGTTTCCAGCGAGTCTTTTCAGGGCAGGGCACAAGAGCTGCCCTAGTGGCAAGTCCAGCAGGATCTGTGGGATTCCCCAGGAGACCTGTTCAGCTGCATCCAAGGGAACAAGTCGAGAACCTTTCATGCTGCTTCAGGTGAGCAGCACCTCCTTGGTATGCAGGATACCTCCTTTCCCAGCACTGCAATTAACTGATCCCTGCTTGCTGAGGGTAAACCTCACAACAACCTCTCCTTTAAACATCCCACCTGAATCCCAGGAGCTGCAAACTTTGAGGACTCAGGAGACAGAAAAACCCTTCACTGCACACGTCCCCCCTTCCATATGTTTGGATGGCAGCCACTTAGTGTTGTGTGGTTCTTTTCTCCTCCCTGTATTGCCCTGCAGAGACTGGCTTAGCTTTATCTTCTGCCATTTGCCATTTACTCCCAATACAAGTCCCATGGAAGAGAGGTATAAACAGAGGTGTAAAGCAGGAATGCAGCAGAGCAGGACCCCAGGCCTGTGGCCAGTCCTACCTCTGTCACAGAGCTCTCCGCTGTAGTTGGGGTCGCATTCGCAGAAGGGCTCCCCGTGCTCTGAAACTTTACACTGCCCGTGGTTGCATTTCAAAGTCCTGCAGGGATTTGAGGAGTTGTTCTTCTTGTCACAGTACATGCCCGTGTAGCCCTCCATGCACTTACAGGTGTAAGCAACGTTGGCTGCCACGCACTTACCATGCAGACACCTGGAGAGAGAGAAGCATTCAGAGCTGGCCTGGGTTAGATGGGAACGTTTCTTTTCCCAGAAATGATTGGTTTTGGCACTTCTGCCCCTTTAATTCCAGGCCACTAATCCAAAGACAGCAGCTCAGTGTCAAACACTCTGAAGAACCTGTGAGTTTTCAGTGAATACTGGATGTAGAATCTGTGAACCTAACGGATCTCTTTAAAAAGCTTTAGGCTTCTCTGTGAGCACGGACCAGCGCTTGGCATCTACACGAGACAGCTCACACTTACAGCATCAGCACGTGGGACTAAGTGCCAACAATCAAGCTGCATGCCCAGGCTTCCTAAGCAGAATTACCGTACAAATAATATCAGGTGGTGAAAACCAGTGTGATAAATGAAGGTGCCTGTAGAAAAGCTATGCACAGACTTATCAACGGGCAGCTGTAGTTGAAGGGTTCCCTGGATCTTGTGGTTTGCACTGAGCTTTGGCATTTCCAAGGAATACCACAGGGTGGGGTGTTGATCCTTAGCAGGTTCTCTGACACCATCCCCACTTCTGGGGCAGGGACTTGAAATGGACTGAAAACAGGGAAGAAGGCAACACTCTCCAGCCAAGGGAAAAGTGCTTGGGGCTTATAAACCTTTCCTATAACAGGTCCTACTTGACGTAAACCCACGTCTCTCTTATTTTTATTTTCTTTCCAGTACTTTCAAATTGTTCCCTGTCTACGTTGAATTCTTGTTCATTTAATTTTTAAGCTTTGAACTAAAAAGCACAAATAGTATTTTTCTCTTGTCCAACAACAACAGCTTTGTGTTGACAATGGAAATTCAAGGAAATATTTGGGTTTCCATAACTTTGGTTTGTAAACTCTCAGGTTTTTCTCAACACTTTCCAGGGTTCGGTATTTTGCAGAATTAGACCAGAAAAAAGTCTAAAAAATGGTACCTCTATGAGGTTAAATTTTTTCCCTTTAAGAGAGTGATTATTCACTGTGTCAATTTACCTGTCAAAAGTATGTGCTTGTAAAAAACCTCTTCCACAGACAGTGCAGCCAAAGTAGCTTCTAGAACAAAAGTACTTCCATCTGCTCATGAAACAGCACTGAACTATGCAGCCTGCTGCTCTGCACAGGGCTGTTTCCTCTGTGCTTGCCATGAGAAAGCCATTCATCCCATGTTTCTGATGGAGATGTGGTTGTCGAGCCTTTGAACAGCGAACGCTTTACACTCACACTCCCCTCGCATGCAACGCCACGTTCTCCTTTAAACTTGCACTTTGAAGGGGTGTTTAAGTCAACTATTTGGGAAATATAAAACTGCTCACACTGGAGTGCATAATGGTTTTCAGGGGGTTAGTTTGAAGCCTGGGTTCAGTGCTGCTGTGAGCAAACCCCTAAATGTGTACCTCATGCTCACAGGCAGCTCCAGTCTGGGTAAGTGGGTCACCTCCTCAGAGTTAAGCCATACCCATTAACAGGAGGTTTTGTATTTTAATGCGTAGAATCACTGCTGAAAGCACGACCTGCAGCATTAACACCTGACCTCTTTCAGGCTCATGATGTCCTCTGGAGAGTCAGCAGCCTCAGAACAAGCAGTGGAAATTGAGAGCTGCCATGACTGCTGACTCACAACTCTCAATAATTTCACGTGGGAACCCAGCACCTCTGAAAATAGTTAGATGTGGTTTCACAAGATGAAATGTGAAATATGCATTAGCTGTAAAGCTTTTGCCCTCCCAGCAGCACTTGTTTGAGCTTACTTGTGGTTGAGACATGGGTCTCCAATTTCCTGGTCACACAGGGGGCCCATCCAGCCCGGGTGGCATTCACAAATCACGCTCGTTTTCTCCAGGGACCGGCAGATACCATGCTTGCAGATGTTACAGGACTTGCAGCCAGGAAGGACTCCCAGTGACTGCTGTGGCAAATCCTTGAAGTCCTGCAGCTCGTTGTTGATGCGGACATCGTGGATGCATCCATGGAAACCGTTTGGTGTCTTATCTGCACCCTGGCGCAGCGGAGATAATCCAGTAGAGGTGGGGATCCCTGCAGATAAAAGCAAAAGGCGAAGGTTCACTCACAGTTACAGTGACGATACATAAATGAAAATTGGTAATGTTTCTTTTGTCACAGCCCCTTAAAATCTTTAAAGACTTAATTTGCATAGGACCTGTGTAAGGTTGCCCAGAATTTGTTATCCATAAATAATGCCACTGTTAAAGGTGGTCTTAAAACTAACCCAGCATCTTTGTTTAACTGTGTGTTAGGAGGCAAGTTGCTAGACCAGGTCATGTAGTTGGGGAGATGGACAAAATTGTGGGCACATGAGGGTTCTGTGTTAACACTTACTGTAGGTTAGGAACAATTGCTCTGGGGTAATTGAATCAATTACTTTAACTGGACCACCTGCAGGGGAAGGGCAGCTGGCACTCATGGCAATGCTACACATGGAGAGGTGGCACACGCAGAGCAGTGAGGGTTTAGAAAGAAGCAAGAAGAATTTTAACAGGCAGCGAAAAAGTCTCCACTGAGCCCATGGCTTCCAATAGTCCTTCATTCCACGTCTCAGGTTTGTCCTGAGAATTTTTTTGTAGACACCTTTTGAGAATTAGTATTGATCCACTGTGCTCATCCATTAACAAAACGTGATTATTTCCCAAGCTCCTTGTGTAAAATCTGCTGCAGGGTTGGTATCTTTTATGCTGTGCTAGAGGGAGAAAATGTGATGGCCTCTGCACCAGCAGATTATCTTTGATGCACAATGCTCTTTAATAGCCTGTGACATTCTTAATAGGAGCCAATTATAAAATTTCAGCTCTGTACAAAGCAAGATTAGCCAGTTTTCTCTTTTACAAGGGCAATATTCAGGGTTCTTTTAGAAAAGTGTTATTAAGGGGAATTATTTACAAAAGTCTTGACCAGCACCAAATGAAGTTGGTAAGAGTTTCTACAACTGGCTTCAATGATCTCATTAGAAAAGGCCCAAAGACTTTCTGAGTCTGTTATTATTTTGCTGACTGAAGATTCAAGAACTCTGTGTCACTGAGAGATTTCAACATTCAGTCCAGAATACAGCTAAGGGGGTTCTGGCAAAAACAAATCCACTGGGCAGAGAGCAGCCTTTGTTCTGTCTCTCATAACCAGACACCTAATCAGTGGGATAGTCATTATTCTGGGCATCTGTTCTCCACCCCACTTGGCTGCTCATTCCCCCCAAATTCAGTGCTTCATGTGAAAAAACTTCTTAACTGAAGTTTGGTCAATTCTAATACCTCTCCAATACTGAAGCTTTGGCTTCAATTTCCAGTGAGAAAGCTATTAACCAAGACATTCTTAGTCAGCTTATGTGTTAATATGTTATTTAATCACACATCCCCTTCCCCCCAGTTTTTAGACCTCTACAAAATTTCCAGCAGAAATACTGCTTGGCTGTGGTATATTTAAAACCTACTGACTATTGGTTTGCTTTTCTGCTGTGGTTGTTTGTGATACTTCCACTGTGTTCTTCAGCCACGACACCTTGGTGCCAGCCAGTTCTGAAATGGTTCAGAAATGACCAGTGGACTGTACCTGCAATGACTGTGTGACAAAGAACCTGCCTGTGCTGAGTCAACTGCCCGTGCTGGCCCTGTGGTGTGTGCCAGGGGGCTGTGGAGCACAAAGCACAGCAGCAGGGCTTGTGTTTCCAGGCTCTCTGTTCAGGGAACCAGCCTCTGGCTGAGGGGAAAGACAAACTAGTAGTGCCCCCGCTCCCACCCCCTGCCCTGGAGAGCCCTCTCCAAGGGGTAGAAGATGGTTTGCTTCTGAGAAAACATGTTAAAATCTCAAGTCCGGAGTAACTCACCTCCAATGTAGAGGGGTGTGTTGAGGCTGACAGAGGACTGTTTCTGGAGTTTTCCCAGACTCTTGGGAGCCCCCTTGTCCACCACCAGGTTCAGAGTTTGATTCAGCATCACGAGTTCCACACTGTGAAACTGCCCATCATTTACTGTTTCCACACTAAAAGGAAAAGCAAAAAAAAGAGAATTAGAAGATGAACAAGGAACAGCCTCTGCTTCTGTGACATCCTGTGTCCCGGCACACCTTGCACAGCACAGCTCCACTCCGTGCTCCTTTGCTGTCACCGTGTCCTCAACATTTCCTCCAGGTACAGACTGACACACTGCTGATGCCTGTGCAGGCAGTGCTGACACATGTGATGCTTGAGAAAACAGCTAACCAGGACAGGAGCTACTGGAGTTGTGTTTCCCAGGGCAGAAAAGCAACGGGGAGTTACACAACATACTGGCTTCGGTGACAAAACTACCTAAAAATCCCATTCTGTGCTCTCAATAAGTTACAAAGTCACAGGTCAGATTCCTTTCAGGTGTTTTGCAAACCTGCAAGGTCAATGTCTCTGAGCTATTTACCCAGACCTTCTTCACTGTCAGTGGAGAGGAACAGACACATGCATCTCCAAGGATGAATCACCTTTCAGATGTGCCCACCTGTCAACCTAGAATACATGCTGCCCCTCTTTAATGCCCAGTCCTGCATAGCTGATGTGTAAAGCTATTGTAGCAAGGAAATAAGACCTCGACTTCAGAAACAAATTACATGCCTTGGAGATTACCAGAATTCAGTCGTTGCTGGAAGAAGTTTCATTTTTATAATGTTTTATGATAGACCTGACATAACCAATTATACTTGAGCAATGTCAGGCAGCAAGTCTGCACTGCAGGCATTTCTGAGGATGTGCTGTTTAAGAAGAGCACACTGCTGATTCAGAACTGAGCTAATGTGCCCCTGCAGTGCTGCTCTCCCCACAGGTTTTTGGGATGAATCACGAACATATATATGCCTTTAAGAGTTTACCTAAGGTTACACAGGTTGTAAGGTTGACAGCAGTCCATGAGCACCTTTACATAAAGTGTGGCTTTACATAGACAAGAGGTTAGTTCTGCCACAGAACAGCTCCTGGGAAAGCTCTGCTGGCTGCTCATTCCTGACCTCCAGGAAAGTGCTGGGCTGTGGCTGCTGCCCATGCTCAGGATGGTGAGAGAGCCCTGGGGAGAACTCAAGAACCTGGAGCTAGCAGTACTGTTTAAAGTGCTTTAAAGAAAAAAGGCTTGACATTGCACAGAAATGCAGATCCAGTAGATCCAGGAGACAAGCCTGGCTCAGAATAGTTGTAGCAGGGCCCTAGCAAGGGCAGTGAGGTGTGTGGGCCGGGGTGAGAGGTGTAGGATGTATTCCAGACTCATTGCCAAAGGTGCTGCAGCGTGTGCCCCTCAGAAGAACAGGCCTGTCCTCACTGTAGCCAAGTCACTGTATAGGGGCCACACCTCCAGCAGGCTATTGTGTGGATTGACAACTCAAATAAGTCTGAAAACAGCTGGTCCAAGCTTTCTGTTTAGATACTCTGGAATTCTGCTAAGTATCTGCTGCATTACAAGGAACAGCTGTGCTACGGCAACGCGCCGACTGGGTGATCCCTCTGTGCTCCCTGCTTATCTCACTGCTGCCTTGCAGTGCCTGATTCCCCTGGGGGAAGCGCTTGGACTTCCAGCTGAAAGGTGAGAGATAAATGGAAATGCACATTTGTGATTGTTAGTCTGTGCACAAGTGCCAATGAAAGGAAGAAGCAGAGCCAAAGCCCGTGGGCTGTGAGAGCCGAGCAGTGCGGAGGTGGGATGGATGGCTGTAGGACAGGGAGCTCTTCCCCAGTGGGATCAATAGCTGGAGCTAACACACAAACCACACAGTTATCTGCAGAAGGCCAAGCCTACGGCCATTTGTCAGAGGACAACATTATCACATCTGGTAGGGCTGGCTCTTCCCAGGGCCAGGATTTCACAGGCATTCAACACCTACTTCTCCGCAGGGTGTGCTTTTTCCAGATTATGCCTTGACTAGCAGGCAAACAAAAGTCTGTGAGTCCTGGCGATGGAAGCAGCCACCCCACATGGTGCTCATGCCTTTCAGCACACCCAGAGCTGGTATTTTTGCTGTACAGGGAGTACCCAGACTGCAGGTACACGTGGATGAGTATTACTCTGTTCTGACCCTTTTACTTTTTAACTCTGAATTAAAATAATCAGTGCCTGGAGTTTGAGAAACAGTAACTCACAGCCATTACCCAACACTGCAGTTTTGTAAAGCAGATAAAGTCAGAACAGTCGAAGCACTCATTTGCTGTTTGAGACGACACAGAGATATGATAAAAAAGCTGTACGTGGACAGCCAGGATGGCAGGAAATCCCCAGGCAGCAGAGACTTGTGTGAGAGCACTTACTGCTGCTGCTGCTGATGGACAGGCATTCAGACGCTTTGGATCTTAAGAGATGGAGACAATAGGGGGGGGAGAGACCGGTGGTGAGAGATATGCTACATGAACTCTCCTCAGAGCCTCTTCTGGGCCTTGAGGAGCCCCGGCAATGGTCGGGAGACAGCTGGAGACAGTGGCTTGGCCGGCGATGAAGGGCGGGCGGCCGCTGAGCAGCGCAGCGCGCACCGCTCGGCTCCTCGTCAGCGGCCCCGGCCCTGTTAGGGGTTCATTAAAACCTTAATTGAACTCTCCCTGGGGATCAGGTGCTCTGACAGGGCTGGCTTTTCCTGCCGGAGCCGCCCGCGAGATGGAGATGCCTGCCCCGGCTCGGGATTTACGGGGTTTCGCCGGCCACCCCGCACCGGGGCGGGAATGCGGGGCTCGGACTAGGAATGCGGCTGCGGGGCTGGGAGTGCGGGGCTCAGGCCGGGAATGCGGGCTCGGGCATGGAATGTGGAGTGAGGGTCGGGAATGCGGGGCTCGGGAAGGGAATGCCGGGTGCGGGGCCGGGAATGCGGAGTCGGGAATGCGGGGCTCGGGCGGGAGGGTATACGGGGCGCCGCAGCGGCGGCGGTTGCAGTACCGGCGCTGGGTCAGCAGAGGGCGCCGCGGCACTGCCGAGCGGTACCCGCGGTCACCGACACTGCCCTGTCACCCACACCCCGCACGGCCCCCACACCCCGCACGGCCCCCACACCCCGCACCGCCCCGTCTGCCGCGGCTGTATGGCCAAATCACGGTCACACGTGTGAGCAGAACCAGGGAGAGGGGAATGGAGCGGCGGGAAGAGCCAAAGGGCCGCTGCTCCCGCACCGCCCGCCTCCCCCGCTGCCCTAACGATGTCCCTGCTCCCGCACCTTTCCAAGGCGTTAATAACGGGCGGGAATGTTTAGCTGGCTTCCAGCTGGAGCGTTTTGAGGCAACACCGTTCGATATCATATAGTTTACTGGAAAAAAAAAAAAAAGGAGGGATGATGTTTGGAGAGTATACGCTTGGAAGTGTAAGCAAGGATTTTCAGGAATTTAATGGTTAAACTTGCTAAAAAAAGTAAGCAGTAAAAGGGGTCAAAAGTTTCATACAGCACAGAGGGACTCCTCAGGACCCAGGCACTGCTCCTGGGGTGTGCTCAGCAGAAGGTGAGGACCCACACCCACTGTGCTCAGTCTCTGCAGCACTGTCACTGGAGTCGAGTCACAAACTGGATCCTGAGAAAGCATCTCAGTTCCTTTCCAGGTGGAATCACTTCTGGTCCCTTAAAGCCCCTATCCCGAGGGAAAGGCAGTGCCTTTGGAGCAGCCAGATGCTGGCAGGAGGGTTTATGTAGCTCAGCAGTGCAGCCAACATGTCCCAGTTGGAGCTGGCTGCTCTGGGAGCCCCTCGGGGGCTGAGGAGGGGCAGCTGCCAGCTCTCACTGCCCTGTGTCCCCAGCAAAAGGGACACACCTGCTGCTCCTCGACCCACAGCAGCCCTCACCTTTCCCTTCTCCACCCCACCCATCTCCCCATAGCCCAGGTTACGTGCCTTGCACAGTCCATCACGCTGCTCTCATCGGGGTTCCCCTCACTGAGAGCTGGCCACGGCACCTGACCAGATTCGGCCAAAAAGAAAGAGGCAAATGCTGGGCATGTGAGGAGAGCTCAGCTTCCAAAGCTCATGGGAAGGCCTTGGGTCCAGCACCTTCTGTTCCCTCAGAGCTGTCCTCACAGGGAATGGAGGCCACCAGAGAGGGCTTTGTGGAAGAGGCATTAAAATTTCAGCTGGCAGGGAGCTGGTCTCACCTGTCAGAGCAACTCCAGCACGATGAGCCAACAGACCCACTGCAGAGGGCACTGCACACAGACCATGGACGAGGCCTCTGCTCTGGGCTTAGACTCCAGAATGCAAAGAAATTAAGGGAAAGGGATGTGAATTAAACATAAACCCACAAGGAATATAGGAAAGAACCGATTTGCACTCTCATTTTTGAGCTATTTTCTCTTCTCCTTCCTATATTTTCTTTCCCCTCTAGTCCAGCCCCAAGCACACACAGATGTTATAAACACTGACTCCCCTTCCTCTAATACCCATGAGAGATTTAGAGCTGAGCCACTATAAATATGCCAGCGAAGAGAAATGCATTAAAGGATTAAAGCATTCAATTGGAACTTGTAAAATTTGGGCTTTGGGGTCAGGGTTTTTTTTTTTTCACTGACAAGTAATATACCTTTAGTGTAGATAGCAGAGAACAGCAGGGCAGAGGAGTCAAAAACAAAAATAGCTTTAAGTATCACAGCAAACCATGTCACTGAAGAAATGTATAACCATCAATTATGCAAATGAGAACATCAATTCATTAGCTACAGTCTCCAGATTTTCCTGACCTCTGTCTTAATGGGGACACGCCTCATTTGATGCACAGAACAAAGGAAACACAAGGATGATAAGAGACTGGGGAGTGAAGGCCATGGGGAACACTGAATTTAGATAAGCTTTGAGGACATTCAGAATAGAAGGGAATAAACAAAAAATATATGTCCAAAAGAACTTTAGGAGCTTACAGCACATGGGAGGAGCAAGCACCAGAGAAGAGGTACCAAAATCAAGAAACACAAGGTGAGAGCTGCAGGGAACCACAGTGAGGTGTCAGATTTGGGAGATATGAAACTCAAACTGTGCCAGGCTGACTGCAGGCATCAGCAGTGATGGGCTTTC